TTGGGGTAGGGAGTTCAAAAGGAAGGGAAAGTCTTTAGGGTAGTCCTGGAGATGAGCATGGTTGGCAGTGACAAGGACTCTAGAGAACAGGAAGTCTTGAAGGCAGCAAAGAAGGAGGTTTGGGTGATATTTGGAGATGAGCTGGAAGATGTAGCTGGGGGCAGAGTTGTGAATGGCTTCCTATGTTGTTGCTAGTGTTTTGAATTATATACAATGGGCAAATGGAAGCCAGTGGAAGAATTGCCAGAGAGGGGGTGGCAGATGCTCAGCTGTTGGTTAGGTGGATGAGTCTGGCAGCAGCATTAGTGATAGGATGAAGGGGACTGTGTAGGGGTAGGCCAACAATGAGGGAGTTGCAATAGTTGCAATAGTTGAGGCAAGACTTAACAAGGGTGTGAACTAGAAGCTTTGATGTGCCGTTGATTATGAAGAAGTAGTATTTTGGAGGTGAAGGTGGCAAGACTTCATTGTAATAGTAATTGGATATGGAGTCCATAGGAGAGGTCAGAGTGAAGGATTACACCAAGCACCTTGGCCTAAGAGGATCGATTGATAACAGTGCTTTTGATCTTGATGAAACATTTGGGGGCAAGGGAGGAATAATATGAGCTAATTTTTGGAAAGATTAGGTTTGAGGAAGCGGTGTTACATCCATGGAGATACAATATGTCCATTAGTAAGTTAGCGGGTTGCAATGGCTTGTAGACACGATAAGAAAATCTGATGAAAATTCCCGTAAGACATCCAATCAGTCGATTATCTGATCGTTGGTATACTGCTTTTGACAGGCTATTCCAACTTCTTGGACGACAAAAACCGAGGGTGCAAGCTAGAAATTTTTTATTGTCCATGAACACAATATCCGATTTTTCATTCAATGTGTACAGCAATTGTATGGAAATAATTGAATTGAAAAAAAATGATCAGATGCATAGAACAACCTTACGCTTCCTCTTCTACATAGTTATTTTTGTTTGCAGAAAATTTTCTTACATGTCAATACCATTCCGACTACATCATGATATACTTTTGTGGAAAATCAAACGATCGGCCGTCCGATTTTCTCATAGTGTGTACTAGGCTTAAGGGCTGAGCTGATGAAGAGGAGGTGGTAAGGTGGTAATGGGAACTGTGGAAGGTTATCAACTGATTCAGAGAGGATCCTGATTTGGACTGCCCCCCCCCCCCCCCCCCCCCCCCCCCCCCCCCCCCCCCCCCCCCCCCCCCCCCCCCCCCCCCCCCCCCCCCGTCTCTATAATATGAACGGTTTTGTCTTGTAGTTTACAAGAGAGAACTGGTGAGAGCTGATAACATTGTGATTTTAGTTCAGTACACAGAAAATTGTACATTACACTTCTGGCGTGACCAACCAGTATTTTTCTGTACTTGCAGAAGAGGTTCTTAGGCCTGATTCACAGCTGTGCAGTGTGTCCTAAGTGCATTTTACATGCGGTTTTTAGGTACCAATGAACTTTATATAACATATTATGATGAAAGTGCATGAAAGATCACACCACACCAAAAATGCACTGGAGTGAAAAGGGTCTTACCCTTATAAAAGAAAACTAATGCAGCTATCACATTTAAGGGCTGGTAAGCTGCATTATAATAGTTTTGTTCTGTTTTTATACATTTTAGATTAAGTTAGGTTTCAGGGGGTTAAGTGTTAGGATTCGATTAAATGCTACTTAATGGTAAATTTAGGGATAGGTTTGGTTTTAGAACTTAGATGATGAAGGGGTTATGTATTAGGGCCAATGTAAATGGAGGTTGTTATCAAACACTGCCTTTTGCATTCAAACTCTGCTCTTCTCAAGGCATGTGTTCAAGCCCAAAACAGGAGAGAGGCTGAGTTTGAACTGCAATTTCTGCAATATAATCTACCTTCAAAAGAGCCAGATGTGTGAAAGAAATGCAAAGAAGGCCTTAGAACTGTCATCCACGCTGCCCTTGTTGGAGTAAATCTGCTGACCTGCTTTTGACGTGCACGTCAAATACATGTTCAAAACAGGAAAACAACACTTACCTACACAAGCCCTTAGGGTCAGTGTAAAGGTTAGGGAATTGAAGGTGTCTGGGTGCGTTGCCTTTATAGCACAAAGCACTGACCTGCAAATTCCTGCTATACAGTCATATACAGTGAGGAACAGAAGTATTTGAACACCTTGCGATTTTGCAAGTTCTCCCACTTAGAAATCATGGAGGGGTCTGAAATTCACATTGTAAGTGCATTCTTACTCTGAGAGACAGAATTAAAAAAAAAATTCAGGAAATCACATTGTATGATTTTTAAAGAATTTATTTGTCTTGCACTGCTGAACATAAGTATTTGAACACCTGAGAAACAGCAAGAATTCTGGCTCTCAAAGACCTGTTACTGTGCCTTTAAAAAGTTCACCTCTACTCCACTCATTAATCTAACTTAGTAGCACCTGTCTGAGCTCTTTAAAGACACCTGTCCACCCCACAGTCAGTCAGATGCCAACTACTACCATGGGCAAGACCAACGAGCTGTCAAAAGACACCAGAGACAAAATTGTGGACCTCCTCAAGGCTGGAAAGGGCTACGGGCAATTGCCAAGCAGCTTGGTGAAAAAAGATCAACTGTTGGAGCAATTGTTAGAAAATGGAAGAGGCTAAAGACGACTGTCTGTCTCCCTCAGACTGGGGCTCCATGCAAGATCTCACCTCGTGGGGTATCACTGATGATAAGAAAGGTGAGGAATCAGCCCAGAACTACAAGGGAGGAGCTGGTCAATGACATGAAGAGAGCTGGGAACACAGTTTCAAAGGTCACTGTTGGTAGAACACTACGCCGTCATGGTTTCATATCATGCATTGCACGGAAGGTTCACCTGCTCAAGTCATCACATGTCCAGGCCCATCTGAAGTTTGCCAATGACCATCTGGATGATCCAGAGGAGGCATGGGAGAAAGTCATGTGGTCAGATGAGACCAAAGTAGAACTTTTTGGTCTAAACTTCACTCGTCGTGTTTGGAGGAAAAAGAAGTATGAGTTGCATCCCAAGAACACCATCCCTACTGTGAAGCATGGGGGTAGTAACATCATGCTTTGGGGGTCCTTTTCTGCGAAGGAGACAGGACAACTGCACTGTATTAAGGAGAGGATGAATGGGGCCATTTATTGTGAGATTTTGAGCAACAACCTTCTTCCCTCAGTCAGAGCATTGAAGATGGGTCGTGGCTGGGTCTTCCAACATGACAACGACCCGAAGCCCACAGCCAGGAGAACCAAGGAGTGGCTCCGTAAGAAGCATATCAAGGTTCTGGAGTGGCCTAGCCAGTCTCCAGACCTAAATCCAATAGAACATCTTTGGAGGGAGCTGAAACTCCGTGTTGCTCAGCGACAGCCCCGAAACCTGACAGATCTAGAGGAGATCTGTGTGGAGGAGTGGGCCAAAATCCCTGTTGCAGTGTGTGCAAACCTGGTCAAGAACTACAGGAAACGCCTGACCTCTGTAATTGCAAACAAGGGCTTCTGCACCAAATATTAACACTGATTTTCTCAGGTGTTCAAATACTTATGATCAGCAGTGCAAGACAAATAAATTCTTTAAAATTCATACAATGTGATTTCCTGAATTTTTTTTTAAATTCTGTCTCTCAGAGTGGGAATGCACCTACAAGCCTCCATGATTTCTAAGTGGGAGAACTTGCAAAATCACAGGGTGTTCAATTACTTCTGTTCCTCACTGTATGTAGTCTGATGTTATTGATTTCATTACAGTGTAGTATGTAATACATGCACATTTCCATGTGTTTAATCCCTTTAAAGACATTGCAAGAACACAAAATGAACCATTGATCTTCCAGAAATGCACTTGGTCCTTATTTTCTTTTTGTGGGATGACAACACATGACTTTTCTGAACTGAAAGTGCACAAACTGGTGTTAGCCCTGTCTCTAGTAAACTGCAGAATCCCCCCCTCCATCTCCCAATCTCGACAGCATAGTGGGGGGAAATCTTTTGTATTCCAAGACAAGACCTGGGAGGGTTGATTAGACTCCTTGATATAACACAAGCAGGATGAACAAGGCACAAGGAGGCTCTGAGTTTCTGGAAGGATCAACAGGTATTTATTTATTAAGATATAACTAAAGTCTTTCAGTTATTTATTTAACAGAATAAATAAGAGACGCTAAGTTAAGTGTTAAGTACACTTTAAAGTGTATGTTAACTCTTAAATGAATATTTAGGTTATACGGTACTTTAGTAATACACTGTCTGGTGCATGTTGCTTCTTTTTCCACTACACCCTCATTTAGTAGCAAATACCTGGTGATCCTTCTAGTCCCTGTATTCCTGTTGCAGTTTGAACACGTCAAGCACGGAAGCAGATCCTTGCTGGTGTGGTCAGTTTACAGTCTCGAGCTTGCTGTTTAGAACCTCAGGACAGTATGTAGATACGCTTTGCTACCAAGCACCCTGACCAGTCCTGCTCTACATCATTGACAGCAGCTCTTCCCACTCAGGGGCTTATTTACCACAAGACAAACAAGGCATTTGCCTAGGGCAGCATTTTTTCAGGGGGTAGCTGCATTTTTCAGGGGGACAGCGCTGCCTCCAAAAGAAGGGATGGAAGAAAGGACACACGTAGCATGGGGACCAGGTGGGATCTGAGAGAGGCTGCGGGCTGCTTGAGGTGTATGCAGAGCCTGACTCTTTTTCCCGGGGATGTCCGGAGCTATGAAGGTGAGTGTCTTCTCTCTCGCCAGGGTGCAGGGGGGTTGCCAGTGTATGGGGGGCAGTGGTACTGGAAGACTCTCTTGGGTGGGGTGTTGTTGGTCAATGTCAGGCTCTTATTGTGGGGGAGGGAGGTGTTTGTCAGTGTCAGGGTCTCTCCGTGGGAGGGGGGGGGTGGGGCAATTTTTGTGTTGCCTAGGGCAGCACGAAACCTAAATACACCACTGTTCCCACTGTCCTACATGTCAATGCAATGCGGATACATCCCCATCCCACCACTGCTCCCCTTCAAAACTCAGAAAGATGGAAAGAAAGGGAAGGTAGTGTAGCCACGTGACCATGGAAAAAAGGTATGTACAGTAAATGTCTTGTTTAAAAAAAAAAAAAAAGAGAAATTTTATTTTATATGTATATATGGCTTTCAGCAGGAATGCGGGAGAACACCTCCAGCACTGAATGTATGTAATTCCAAGGGATGCTGGAGGGTCTATTGATGCTGGTAGCTGGAGGGGATCTATTTTTGCTAGGGGGGGATTGGGGTCTATTCTATTGTTGCTGGTGGGGGGGTCTATTTTAGCTGGGGGTGGGTCTTATGTTGCTGGGGATCAATCATTGCTGGGAGGAATCTACAGTTGAAGGAGGAGTCTATTGATGCTGGCTGTTGGGAGTCTATTGTTGCTGGAGTGGATCTGTTATAGCTGGGGTCCATTGTTGTTGGGGGGCCTATTGTTCCTAACTACAGGGGATCCATTTTCTTGTTATCAATAACACATTCCATAAACATTACTTAGCACTAGAAAATTATACTTGGTTCTGTTTTTTCTAAAAGGGGTAGTACTGTGAGGTGGTTAGGGGGGTGGAACCAAGGGATGGTACTTCAGGGTTGGCCGGGGGCAGAGACAAGGGATGACTTGGAAGGGGGGAGTTTATGCACCTATTCTCTGAGAGAACAAAAAAGTCATATATAGTGTGTGTGTGTGTATATATATATATTCATTTTAAACCATATATTGTCCTTTGCTTTCCCTGACTTCACCAATTCTTTAAGCAGTTAAATAAAGTACTTTGTATCACTATCACTTTCATCATCAGTTAACCTGTGTCTGTTTCTCTCCCCCCCGCAGTTTCTCCAGTGTGTCTCAAGGCACCCATGTCCTGTTCAGAGAGTACTCCTTTGTTCAGTGCACCCCTCATAACCGGGCGTCCTTTCTACGACTCTTCTGGAGATGCTTCAGGACAATTGCTAAGAATGGAGGTAAGATGAGAGAGACAATGGGGTGTGTGTGGGGGGGTTATTATTTATACATTGCTGGTAGAAGAGATGCTTTGATGTAGCTTCCATCTGCACTGACAATCCCGCAGTGGGGGGTTCAGTAATCTAAAGCTTTGTCCGCTTTAGAAGGATTTTATGAATTCTTCATCCTGTAATGAGGCAATATGGCCATCTAAAGTGAACACATGATGGGAATGTCAATGGCTTGTTTACAATTCATCAGTTATGTTTTCTTTAAAGGGCCAGAAAAAATAAAATAAAAAAAAAGAATTTTTTTTTTTTTTAAATCGCTATTTATCCAAAATATGAAAGTACCCAACTCTATACAACGACTGAGATATTTTTGTTGCTTTATTAGCTGCTGTGTTACACTAATGGATGTCTCGCATTGACAGTGGGCAGTCTTGTTTTTATGAGATATCTGCTGGGTGTTTGACAGCATCATTTCCATTGCATTTCCTTCATTGTATATATCTTTTCTTTTTTATAATGGACTAAGGGCTCATGTTCACTACAGCTGATAAACTCACGTTTAGGAACTGTTCAGCGTTTTTTTTTTCAGCAGCCCCTGAACTCATCCTATTGTTTTCCTATGTGTCCATGTACATATCTTCCTTTACAGTCATTTTCAGGCAGTTGAGTTTACAGTCGTTTTTTTGAACGCAACAAAGTTGCATTCAGACGTCAATTTTATCAGTGTTTCAAACGCAAAACACTTGTAAACGCGGCAAATCGCGTTTATAAGCGTTTGCGTTTGAAATTTTTTTTTTTTTACTCTTCCTGTTCCCAATGCTGTCCAGAGCCTTTTTTCATCATGAAAAATACATGCAAAGCGTTTTCAAGGTGCTCAGATGGACAAAACACTGAACACAGGATGTTCCTACCAAGCTTGTCACACATTGTAATGACCACCTCTGACCTCTTCCACCCTTGGAAACAAAAGATATGTTAATGACCATTCACACCTCAAATTCCTCCTGAAGACCCCCTGCCAGGTGACCTTAATGACTCCCTCCACCAGACACCTTTCCCACCCTTGGAAACAAAAGAAATGTTAATGAGCAACTCACACCTAATTATCTCAACACATGCTGCTGTCTCTGCTTCTACTCTCTGTATTTCTCTGAAACAGTCTGAAATAGTTAATAATTTACTACTTTTCAGTGCATTCTGGGCATTTGAGAGGTTCTCCTGTGCTTATCTTTAAAAAATGCTTATAAACGCAAATGCGCATAAACGCGTTATGCAAACGTGGCTAAGCAGACGTTTTTGAACCTACGTTTTCCAGCAGTCAGTTTCCGTCGTTCAGTAAAGTCCCATGTACAAGGGGCTTAAAACCTTTTCACCATTTGTCCTTAAATGTCATAAAAACGTCTTATGGCTTCAAGCCCATAAAGGTATATTAGCTTCAAAGTCCTCAAGCATGTGAATATGGCATATATTTCACAAATGGGTCAGTTTTGGGTTCAGGTAAAATTTCTGTACGCTCGTGCACAGGTAAACGCCAATGCACATGAGCATCAGCCTTTACAAAAGTACAGGACTGTACAGCCATTCACTTACATGGCTTGTTGTACACGCCACTTGCAGCTCTCCAGGACTGAGGAAACTTTCTATGAACTCTTATAACTTATTTTTGATGGTCCTTCTATGGCAGTTGCTTGTGTTTTCTATGTGATAGTTGGACAGGAAGTCAACAGCTAAATAAATCTCATTGTGAAAATGTGGGCATGGATTTTTTGGGAACCTTGAATTTCAGCATATGACCATTATAGCCATTACTAAAGGTGTGACAATATTTAATTGTCTTATCTAGGTTTAGGGGTTAAACCCCAAATACAGTTTTGGCAATGCACCCAATCTGCCACCCCCCCCAAGTATTTACATTACATAACTGTACATTTTTGTAAATACATTCTTTTTTTTCCAAAGTGTCTTCTAGTTAATTATGTGATGTGCATGGTCCTCTTCTTCAGCAGTGAGTGGTCTTTGTTACTGATGAAAGTGGTGCTCTGTCAGTACTGTACTGTGAAACCAGGCTGACATGAAGACGCACCCCCAGGGGGTGTTTCCTTGACTGCCTGAACTCAAGTGGGTTGAATGTTGCTGGATGCCATTCATTCAGAAAGGTCAGCAACAGTGGTATAGATTAGCGGTATGTTATTGGAGAGCAGCACCAAATAGGGTTTTTTTTTTTTTTTTTTAAAGGTTCTGAGCAATGTATTTATATTTTTTTCTGAAAGAAAGAGTTCTGCTTTGGGTTTAATTGAGTACCCCAGGTTATGAGGTAGGCTTGAGGGTTGAAGTGTGCCTCTTGAAAGAAATTTAATTAAGCAGCCCTAAAAACTAGTAGTGAAGAGGTGTGATGCATATAATCTAAAGCGTAATTTAGGGAATATGTATTTTAAAATGTAGATCACGGCAGGGGCGGACTGACCATGCGAGAACTCGTGTACACAGTGTACACTGGATCACAGTGTACATAGTGGAGCATTATAGAGTATACAGTATAATGTATATTGTAAAGCGCTGAACAAACTGTTGGCGCTATATAAATACTGTATAATAATAATAATAGTGTACAACTGCCATTCTCAACCAGAATTCTGTGGAACCCTGGAGCCTCTCCAGATGTATCTAGTGGTTCCTTGATGATTATTCCATAGTTCCAGGACTAAAGCCACTTGGCAAAGCCTAAGGCATGATACCGATGATCTTTTTAGGTCTCTGTAAGGGTTGCATACTTCCTAATGACCACCAATGTAAGAGGCATTTTTGCCACTGGCCCCTGGCAAATTAGTTTTGGCTAAGGGCTCCTTGAAGCGGGACTCCACCCAAAAGAGGAAGTTCTGCTTTTAAGGCTTCGTCCCCCGTTAAGAATTGGCACCTTTGGGGAGCAGTTGGGGTGTACCCGCTCCCACTTCCGCTGCAATCGCCTAGTTAAGTGGAAGTTGTTCTCCCCCCTCTCACCCCGTAGTCCTCTGGGACATGTGACAACTCCCAGAAGACTACGGGAACATTCACAAAGCGCAGCACTACTCGTGCATGCGCAGTGGGCACCCGACTGTGCAGCTGCAAGCTGTCACAGACAGGTGCCCACACTAAAGATGCCGGCAGCATCGGGGACACAGGACAGCCGGTGAACCTGTCTGGTGTGAGGACACCATGGGATCGAGGGACAGGTGAGTATCTGTTTTTTAAAAGTCAGCAGCTAAAGTTTTTGTAGAGAAGAGAGACAGCAGCGCCACTCGAGGGCTCAAGGAGTAGCAGAGGGGCGCAGGGAGGGAGGCTCGCAGTGAGATCATCCCTGCAACCCTCTGCTACTCCCCAAGCCCTGGACACCACCGGAGTGGTGGGAAAACACCCAGAGTGCGGCCAAAGGACCTGATGCGCCCACTGGACCTCCACCACTTGCCATGCCTACCTGTTATCTATCTATGCGAGTGCAATTTTACTATTAAATCTGCCTGATTTTAACCATCTACACTTAGAATGGCACTGCTGTCTCTCTTCTCTGCCTGCATTAGGAGTATCTACAAGCTCTTACAGCCGGCTGCCTCTTCAGACAAGTCCATACTACTACAAGCCCCCCACTACAGATGGACTTGGACACCACCTCCACATGGACCTTCTACTAACCCCCATTGCTGATGGTCCATTCCCAAACGCACACAGGGTAGATGCATCTTAGCGCTCCCTCCCCCCACTCAGCTAAAGTCTTTGTAGCTGCTGACTTTAATTTTTTTTATTTTGATTAGACCTCTGCTTTAAAATTATTTTTAGTAGGGAAAAAGGTTGAGCAAGGCTGATGTACAAAGTGGAGTAGTAGGATGTGTGCAAAGTAAAGTACAGTGTACACAACTGAATATTGTGACGTATATACTGTATCATACTCAGAACTTAGTTCATCATGGGAGGGGTTGTGCCACTGCAAGATGTGGAGATGGGAATCCCAGGTCATATACTGTAAAAAAACGAATGAAGGGATTGCCATTGGGTGGCCTGGCCAGTTCACTGGTCCTGAGAATATTGCATTTAAATGGAACCCATAGGCAGGTAGGTTGGGTTTCCTGTAAACATTTTGGAAACGCAGTTTTGGATTTCATCTGATGTGTTTTTTCAATCCTTTTAACATAAAGCTTCTCAC